AGTCACGCGAAAGGGAAATCTCGACGCCGATCCCATGCACCTTATTAGTGACGCATTGCTTCCCGGACTCCCGAGACGTCGCCACGCAAGAGAGCCGATATTGTCGACGGCGAAGTCAGAGAAGCAGACGCACTCCGCAGAGCCCCAGGACCTGACGCCGCTCGCTGCTTGCGAAGGAGCCGGAGCTCCGAGCAGTTGGTGGGAAGCGTCGGAGGGCCCCGACCAAGCCAGCGGCGACTAGGTGCCTCTGTGGCTCGCTCTGTCGTCCTGCGGCACTGATCGGAGATTGGAGCAGCGCTGGCAAAGGAATGTCTCAGATGGCGCATGAGTGCGGGACAGAGGAAAGGAGCACAGCTAGTTGGTTGCTCCTACAGAACCGATTCCGAACCCGCAGTGCTGCTGGTGGCTGGAGTGACACCCACCCCCGCCCTTGCGCAGGAAACGGGTCTCCCAGACGAAGACACGACTGGGGAGCCGATGAACCGTAAGAGAACGCTGAGAGAACGAATGCTGATCAAGATGGACAGCCAGGCTCCTCGCGCGGACGCCAATTTGGGCTAGGCGCCAGCACGGCGAAGTCGCCTACAGTGACACAATTCCTCACTGAACTCGGATATTTCGTTAAATATCTTCGTTGGATGAGGAAAGTAGAAAGGAAGTGTAAACGCAAAAATAGGCGACACCGAACGCACTTTCTTCGTCGGCGAGAAATGGGTAAGAGAGAAGTTGCACTATAGCATTGCGCTGGCAACAACTCCCGACAGCATCGTTCACCCGATGCTCGCCAATGGAGAAAATTGGTGCGAAATAGCCGCCTACAATGAGAAGATATTCCGCAAAAAGAAAGCGGAGGAAAATACAGAGTATAGTTTCCAGCAAGGAGAAAGATGACGGAAAAAGTCTTGTAAGGACAAAAGACAAGACTCCAGCTCAAAGTAATGCGAAAGCGGTTCCGGAATGGTTTTCCATCTCAGGATCCAAGGATTGAAGTTATAGTGAGTGAGAGTTTCACACTTTTCATTATTATTATTATTATTATTATTATTATTATTATTATTATTATTATTATAAAATAATTTTAAGTTTATGTTGTGTTAATGAACAAATATATACCATTGTAATGTATGTAAACACAGTGTCATGCCTCCATATTCCAAAAATACACTAGGAGAAATAATAAATAATAGCTCAAAATAATGAATATCTGTCTCATCTGTTTACACAAAAACCGATGATGGCGCGTACCAGATCGATGCGCTCCGACGCCGTTTGGCCGGTCCTCATGAAAGAGCAGGACGTGCGTGTGGCGCGGAATGGAGAGAGGAGGAAAAGAGAAACGGCAACAAGATAGGGGGAAGAGGGAAAAGGAGAGAGGAAACAGAGAAGGGGAAAAAGAGGAGCAAGTGGGAAAGGGAGAGAAAGCAGTAACGTCTGCCGAGTTCTGCTAGTCTTTCCTAAAAGTTAACTAAGATTTTTTATTAGAATTGCTTCTAATGCACCAGATAATGATTTTATTTGATTATCGTCTTCAATGTCAAAACTTCAAATGACAGGGTTTTGTGTGTTTTTCCAAGGGGTGGGTCACATTCCACTTAAAAGAGTGCACAAAGTCCAAGGCTATTCATGACATCCGCATTGCATCACTCCTAGAAAAACTTCCTGGAGTTATAAAACGATACAGCAAGATAATGTTCATTTTCCTCTTATCTGAAATCAGATCAAACAAAACATCTCATCTGACATTGGCATCTCAATATTTCAACAACCGACCTATTATTGCCAATTACATTACCAATTATTACAGATACTTGCCCATCATTACATTAAGTTAGAATGAAATAATGAACACATACATTGTGACCCTCAAAATTACAATATTTCACCAAACTATTACAAACAATTGATCTTGGTGACATTATCAATGCCTGAAAAGAAAGATTCACCGAGGATATAGCTTTCCAGCCTCTTAGTAATAGATTTGGCAAATAGAAAATTCTTATATTGGCCAGCATTGGGGCATTGCATTAATGTCTCATTTTTTAGAACCTAAAATTATAATTGAGTCATCAATGTTCATTACAGTACCTGAAAATCTATTGATACAATTCATTTCTCAATGTTGTTCAAAATTCTCAAGTACACATAAGTAAAAGCGCTTCCAAAGCTCTGATGTACGAATCATGTGGATCAAGGTTAAAGTAATATCCCCATTGAAATATCAATGTATATTCCCCATAATCATTATATACGTTATAAACTTCTCGATAAACGCTACGGTAATTTATACTGACAAAACATGCCCTTTAAAATAATGATAAATTGTGGTAGCACTGGCTTACAAGTAAATAAAGAGATGCCTCGTTTGCTCTCATCTGCTCTCTGGCGGGGAGTACTGCAATCACGAGGCAGGTGAGGCCTCTCCAGAGAACGTCATCCATCCCTAGCTAGCTCGGTTCAGTCCAATATCTGCTATGGCTACCCCGCTCGCCGCCTGCCGCTGGCTCAGTGAATAAGATGCGCGCGCAGGTCCCATCCCCAGCGAAGATTTCATTGCCGAGGTTGAGCCGTGGGCCGGCGCAAAGATCGCAGTAGAATATACAGTGGTGCAATATTTTTGATTAAGTGACGTACGGTTCATCATTTTAATTCTCAATATTCATTAATTTATCATTCTTGCTTACCCCAGCAGTCCTGGGGTTGACTGCACACCACTGCATTACAAAACTATTCATTGTGGTTTTTAATTTTTGTCTTCTTACACTACCATTTATAAAATTTATTAGCATTCCTTGATATTGTATTTTGTACGAGAATTGAATTGAATTTTAATTTATGACTTACTTTTAATTTTTAGAAATACCTGTATTGCGCATTGTATGATTATATACATATCCTGACTTGTCACACATGGCATATGCTGTATTTATGTGACAAATATATTATTATTAATATTATTATTGTTGTTATTATCAATACTGTTATTATTATTATTGTTGCTGTTGTTAATACTGAGCCATGGACTATTAGAACCCTCCTAGCATAATAATTCATACTGATCTGAGTTTCACACCTTTTGTCTTTAGACAATAAAAGTGGATAAATACTTATATATCATAGACAAAGAACAAATTTGCTTCTTTCCTTTATGTTAGTACTTCAGATAAGCTATAGAAAGTATCTAAATAAGAGGAAAGAACATACTCTGAAAGATAACACAAATGAAACAATAAATTTATTAATTTTCTAAAGAATATTAAAGATTTCAAGTTATTGTTCTTTCTCACTTTTATGAACTTCATGTTTAGTAATATCACATACATATAACATTTGACCATAAACCATATGACAATTTCACATTGAAAATTAATGATCCCCTGTATTTTTAATTCAAAATAACTATTTTGTATTTCCACTTCTTGTGCATACTTTTAACTTTCAACTTCCTTTCCAATTATTTCAAATGCATATGTGTGTGTACATATCAACCAAAGGGAAGGGACATTGTCACTGTTCAGTCCCTCCTTAGTCTATAGTAATCTTAAATATATTAATTAGATTATTATTTGTTTCAGTTTGTTCAACCCTTTTGGATTTGTTAGGAGATCTTAACTCCCAGTCCCCTTCCCCTAACACCATCACCACCACGCCCACACCACTACACTCATGACTTGGTAATGGAATTCAAAGAAAAAACTACAATTAAATTCCTGAATTACTATTTTTATTATCATATGCACTACACATTCCAGCAGCATATTTCACAAGTTTTATCCAAGAATTTCCAAAATTCCTCAAATTGTTTCAGTGATGGATTAAAAGTGGCATAAGATGGGGCTTATGACACTTATTTGGACATCTCCCTATATTTTTGTAAATCCTAGAAAAATGATGTATATTTCTATAGACTATAGATAAATATCACTTTTAATACTCTCAGTTTTGTATGTAATATTAGTGATATAATTTAATTCTAGTGTTAATACAATCAAACATAAAATATGTGTGTGTGTGCCTACCCAAAATAAAACATGACAACACTTCTCAAACAAAAACTTCAATCATTCCTTATGAACAGGGACCTGGGATTCTTTTCTATCAAATTCCAATTGGTATAACAATTTATAAATAAAATAAGTATAAATAGTGGCCTAGCAACAATTGCTTCTGTGAACATATTTAAACAAAAATTATTAAGAAACCCGGAATATTTTAAGCTATGTTTCCTATTCTACTTATCAGTAAGATTGTGTTTACATCTTAACTTTCAAATTAAGTTGCTGCATTTTTTATCCAGCCAATGTTTCAATTATCCTTACAATTCTTTTTTCATTTCTAGAAATAAGTAATCACTATTATTCAATTATTCATTAACATACATTAATATATATTAATAAACAGCTTACATTTTAAAGAATACAAAATCATTCAAATGAATGTTACAATCAACATGTTCATGCCTCACAGAATAACCAAGAAGAAATAAAACAATATTCAGCAAGTTTGATTATAATATTTTTTATAAATTTTTATAATAATCTTTCTTTTGGTTTTTTAATATTATAAAAAAACAGTACGTACTTCTCATTTTAAAATGTTACATCAATTATAACTTAATTGTACAATAACACAACAAATTCCTTTTTAATTGTTCAGAACTCAACCTGAAGTAGCAATAACAATATAAATTCATAAAAACACTGTTTGAACAACTCGAATATACATGAAGAACTAAATTTTATGAGTAAAAGAGAATGTAAATATGAAAATACAAAATCTCATTTTGTGGTATTGTACTGTTGCAACAAAATATACATGTTTTCAAATGGTTGAAACTTTTAACACTTTTTTTATGATCAATATCTAGAAGTTTAAGAAGTATTTTCATTGTTAGTGAACTGACAACTATCATTTGTATTGAAACTTTTGTGATACCGACTGTTATGAGTAGAAAGACTCCATTTTGTTTTAAAGTAGCGATTGCACTTCAGACATGAGAAGACAGAATCCTGTTTTTGATGTTTTGCTGCAACATGCCGCGACAGAATTGGCAAGGTGTTGAAAGTATGATGACAAAAGATGCACATGTAGCGATCTCCAACCACCATATAATTTGGCATCTTCGGGTATTCTTCACCTATGAAATGCAACATTAATATTAGTACCAACTCATATTTGTTTTTAATGAAAAAATACAATGATGCTCTGTATTTGGTTTTAATGTTACTCTAAAAGAAAATATTTAATGGCTAGTACAAAAGGATTCACAAGGAGAGTTAAATAAATATTGGGAAGAAACAATGTAAATAGGTTGATGCATAAAAATAATCAAAATCCACATTGTCTCATAATATCTTTATTGAAGCACTTTGAGCTAAAATACATAATTTGTAAAAGAAATAATTTTTGAGAAACATTGAATCCATCTGAGTGTAGGAAATTTAGTTGACACAACTATTTAAGAAGTATTACTGTAGTAAGTTAACCTATAAAATAAAACTTTCTTGACATTTTTTCAGGATGTAAAATATGAAATGTACATCATACTTGGCGAAATAATAAATGTTTTATATTTGCTCTGCAAGAAGTGCCTATAATTGAGGTGATGAGTGTTCACTGTGATAGAAGCAATTTCTATCAAATAAAATAGAAGCCATTACAGTACTTATCAAATTGCTAGTAGTCAGTAGCTATTAGCTTACACACCTTGCTGTCAAATAATAATAATAATAATAATAATAATAATGAAAACTTGTCAGCAATAAGAAGTCAATGAACAAATAATGAAAACATTACATTTCAAATGAGTGCAACACAATTCTGACTTAGTCTCTGAAACTCTGCAGAAAATAATTAACATGTAGTATTCAAGAACTTTTCTGGAAACCCAAAAATGTTCTTTGGTTGTTTCATTCTAAAATTATTCTTGAGAGTTTTCATAATAACATTTCAGTTTTCAAAACTATTCATTATAATATCAATTTTGTAAATAACTTTAATGATAACACAGACATAAATAAAGATACTTGTTTTGGTGTTAATTAAAGTCCATGTACCATTCGTGTATGTTCACGTAAACTGTACTTATTTTTAAAAATACGTTGGCAGTATTGGCATGTTGCGGTAGGAATTCCAATATGCTGGGTTCGAATGTGTCTTCGCAGATTTCCAACAGACAATACGGAGGGACAATGAGGACACACTTCTGTTCCTGCTGGATGAATGGGGAGAGGAAGAGGTATTTTCTTCAACATCACTGAAAAGAAAGAAAAAAGAAATTTATCATCTCTGTCAATGTCATGAATATCTGACAAGCACATCTCAGAAGAGGCCACAAAATTGAGAAATGTGAGAGAAAGTGACATTTTTCTTTTTTTTTGCTCCAATTCCTCTGATTATGTGAATGTGAACCCAATAATGGCATGATTCACTTCTTTTCGCTTAGAATTATGAAAAAAATTACTGATGCAAAGAAGCATACGTTTTCAAATAAAAAATAAAGGATAATAATAACATCAATCACTTTATTCTATAATTGCCAATAAAATTACAGAAACACTAATTACATAAGAATTCATTATTAAGATTTTTTTTTTTTTATTTCGAAACAAAATTTTACTGAAATAACTGTTCCTTTGTTACAAATCCTCCATATATTTCACATTGTCACAAATTTCACAAACTTCAAAATATTTTTGTTCATTTGCTAAAAGCACAAAATGCATCTCTATGTTTGCAAACAATATACCCTACTCAACATAGATCTTAAGTTTCTCAATTTGTTTGCTGGCGATGATGCATTCTGCTACGATGAACCCACATGTTGTACTTGTTTTTGAAGACTTTTCCACAAACAGGGCACGATTCCACATTTCCAACTACATGAGTTGACTGAATATGACGTTTCATTGATGTTGATTGAGATAAGGTCTTCTTGCAGATAGGACATGTTTGGCCAGTTGGAAAAAATGTGAAATCTGAAATTAAGAAACCAATACCAAACTTCAATACCAAATAATAGAGAGTTTAATCAGGAGGAAGATATTAAATTATTCCATGAGTGACTATCAAAAGAATGTTTAGGTCCAAGAGAGGGGACAAAACTTGACCTTGGGTTATACCAATACACAATTATACTATAATTTAGTTACGGCTGTTTCGTAACTTAAAGAATAATACTGGTATAAGTCTATACAGAGAGGAAAACTAAATGTAATCATTAATTGTTAGTTTTTAAAATAAATCAACTGCATATTCAAAGATGAATTCACTTTATTGTTTTATATACTTTAATATATTAGTGCCAAAATAATGATGTCCACATATTTTCTACAATAAAAAATAAGTTTTCTATTACAAAATATAAGAGTTAATTCATTATGAATTCTAAATACACAATGCCAATCAAAAAGAGTATTATGCAACAACAACAGTTTTCATAAATAATTATACATCATACATCATTCTACATGGTATTATGACACAGTTGTAATGCCATGAACAGATAATAAATGGCGAGTTAAATCTCCTTTCCTACTCAGTACTTTATGGCACACAAAGCATACTGTTTCGCCTGAGTGAAGCTTCCTATGGGATATCAAATTTCGATAATGCTTATAACAAGCACCACATGTTGCACATATATGCATCTTGTCAACTGTATTGTCTTCTTGTATCACACCTGCAGACAAAAAAATCACACATGTCAGTAGACAACATAACAGCATACTGCAAATAAGATACATAATAAGACATGTAAGTACATTCATAGCTACAATGCTCACTCTTACAAATTTGATTTCTTTTTTATTTTCATGGATTTAGTCAACTGAAGTTTAGTAACAAAATTAAAATAAAATATTAACTCACACCACTATTATACACTTAAGCCAAGGAGCGACTTTACTTAAAGATCAGTGTAAAACAATAAAAATAAACTACATTACTTTCTCATTAACTTCCTGACTGAAGATACTACAAGACACAGAAACTTATTAAAAAAATAGAATATAAAATTTAAGAATTTCAGAAAATAGAGATCTACAGCTACTAAATTCATATCTATCATATTTATTGCGTATAAATTTAACATTAATGCACTAAAATACCATTAAATTTAGTAATGAATAAATCTGATTACATAAACATGTTAAACAACTGAAAGCAAATTACACAACAAAACTCTTTTTTATTTTACCTTTTGCAATACATTCCCTTCAAACTTCTTTCACAATTTGGTTTCAATTTGTTTTTAAAAAAAATCATTATTATCTGAAGAACAATACACATACTTTCATTGTAAGAAATCAAGCAATCAAAAGAAAATTCTGCTTTTGAAAAACTTTCACACTGAAGTGACGAAGTGACTAAAGCAAATCCATTGTCACAATTCTAAAGCAATACAAAACAATAAATCCATTTGAAACAGAAGTAAATTACATTCTGAATCTTCAAGAATAACAGATATTTTCAACAGGATGTCCATAGTTAATTATAAAAAATTAATACACAGCAGGATTCTTCTAATAAACATTGGAGTGGAGAGCTAATTATCTGGGACTCAATTATCCAAGGTTTAATTTTGCTGTAATGTCTTTGTATTATTAGATCCTCTATGTTAATATTTATTTTCTGTTATGATTAACACATTAAAATAATAAGTAAAATGATATGTAATTGTGAGTGAAGAAAAACTAAATGTGTGTATCTAAATGTGTTTTAACCTTTGGCAGTTTCTTTTATCAATTAATGAGGAATTTCTGTGTCAGAAAACATTGACACAGAACCTATGAAAAGTTATGTAGTGTCTACAGTGTCTAAATTCTGAGAATGATGAGTGCTTCTTTAATTCTGATAAATTATTTCTTTAATAACTGCATAATTTCTATAATTTACTAAAAACATTAACAGGTCTCAGTATGCTATGCAAAAGCTTTTCATCCCATAATCCAATTTTCATTAAATTTTCTATTGTTATACATCACAACATGAAGTAGTATACAAAATCACCCTTTCATTCCTAAATTCCATTAATAGTCCAGTCGGTAGGTACTGAAAAAAGGGTGTTACCTAGAAAAAAGTCATTTCTTTGAGTATGTTGTATGTACCGAGGCACTGGCTAAAACCCCAAGATTTCGCCCTCCGAGAGACCCTGTGCTTACTCCGAAGGAGATTCCGAAAAAACGGTATTTTTTCTGACTTGTTTCGATTTTTTCTTCACAGTTCATTAAACCAAAATCATGTAGAAAAATGATTCAAACCTTTTTCAAGAGGATAAAATTTCCTAGAACGTTTGTATACAATATTTTCTTCGAAACCAATTACCAAGCCAGCTCTAGATTTACGAAAAAACACTGTTTTTTCAATTCTCAAAAATGTGCGCAAAAATAAACGTTTGTGAGATTAAAATCAACCTATGATAAACATACATTTAATGTAATACTATTATTTATCTTATCTCCGGTGTAAGCATTACATCATAAATATACCTATTGCCGAAAATATTAATATACAAAAGAATTAATGGATGTGCACTACATATGTGTGTTCGAGCTCCAGCTTCACTTTTCAACGCGGGAATAATGTCATTTCAATTGAAAATTAAATGACAATTGATTGATATTATATACTGACTATCATATTGATTACACAAGAATACACGGAGGGTAAGATACCCCTAGAGGGGTGGGTGGGAAAAGAGTGATATTTACAAAACCATATTTGCAACCCGCAATGCATGTCCCGCTTGTAATGTGCACTGAGAGGGCAAAGTGGCTCTGCCAGGCAGAGCTGTTTAATAGATTATTGTGATAAATAAATACACCCAAATTTTTCATAGTTTTTTCTGTATGTATGTATGTATGTGTGTGTGTATGTATGTATGTATGTATGTATGTATGTGTATATATATATATATATATATATATATATATATATATATATATATATATATATATATATATATATATACATACACACACATACATACATTCACATATATTTTTTCTAAACGTGACACTAAGCGGCCAAATGATTATTGGGACTTGCGTTTTGTTATTTCATTTGTAGCGTCTTAGTATACGTAGTGAATGTTTGTTTATACCAACTGTTTACACATAGGCACACAAATTAATTCAAGTTTGGCGTCTAATGTAGAATTAAACAATTATAACCTTTCTGAGTTATAGAAAACATTTGCATCGGTACATGAATTGCACGGATGATTTTTCTGCAATGCTAACGAAATAGCAACTCGCTCTTCCCTCTACTCTTACCATTACAAGCAAAAGGAGAGTTCAACAAAACGTGCGCATAGTGAAGCTACATTTACGTCCAGAAGCAATGCTCAATGGATCAGGGAGATGTGGGCGGAGACGGATCTTCCGTTGTCGTCACTCGAAGACGCTACGCGCGCTCACTGTCTGAAGCGCAGCAGCAGCGATTCGCTTCTCGCGGGAAAACCGAGGAAACACGCGAGCGTCGGCTGCATTCGGTTGGGAAACCTTAGATTCACTGCAGTTCCCCCCCCCCACCATCACCACCGTCGTCTAGCCTAACGGTGACGTCACGGCTGGGTGTTTGCTATTGGCCAGCCAAGACTAGCACTACTCTTGACCTGCGACTCATCCGTGTGACTTTTCCAACGTTCTCTGCTTCCTTGTAGCGCGTACTTCTGTATAGCGCGGTGTAGCGAACGCTTTGTGTGAACGCGAACGCTTTGTGTGTTTGTGTTGTTTGACGATTTTTTTTTCTTTTCAGTGTTGTTGTAAGATTTGGCAATCTGTATTAATCTTGAATGGTAAGACACGATTTAAGAAGTATTTAAGGTTTATTCAATTCTCATGATTTCGGCACGTGGTAACAAACGGCATCTTCACGGTACGGCTTCTTCTGTACGGTCCAAGCTCCATTGCGCTACATCTTCCATGATCCTGCTGTTTTGGCTCGTCAGAGCAGAGCAAAAAACTACGCGTTGTACATTAGTTCATACACACATGAATAATAGAAGAAAACAAGAACGGTAATCTGAATGCTTTCTCCCAGAACAGGTAACATGAATATTTTCATCAAACATTTAATGTTAAAGGCAGATTCTAACGACAATGCGTGCTGATAGCCTTCATATTTGTCTTTTCAGAATCCTTTTTCATAAAAAACTCGAGACATTTTTGCGGGTCTTGGGTGCAACTTTCTAACTCTCCCACAACTAGTAATTTCGACGCATTAACACCAGTTTTGTTGAAATAGTTTTTTAGTAAAATATTGAAAAAATATATAAATTATCGGGGCCCCATTTAAGTGGTCATCTGGGTTGGCTAATCATCTGGCCGCCCCTGGTCGCAAATCGTCGCGATGTTCGGTGCTATAACACAACCTTCATTGAGGAACAATGTTTTATATACCACAAGAATTTGCTAAAATGTGGGATTGTCTTCAGAAACAAAAGATATTCCAGATTTCAAAATACATATAAAAATTGCCATTCCAGCGGTACCATAAAGATTGGGGTAATTTACTGTTAACACTGTCAGAAAAGTTACGAGAGTAAATACTGCAATAAACCGCTAGTCTGATAGTGTTACGATCATACATGAAGTTATGAATCTACAGATTTTTCTAACAGAAATAGTTTCTTATCAAGACATATTTCTAGAATAAGGGACAAGTCCCACCCATCAAAATCATTCAAATACGACCGAGAATATGTTTTTTCTCCTTCATTCTGAACGTGCTAGTCTCGCCCAGCGTAGACAATAGAAGGTAACATTTCGCAGTGATTATTGGAAACTGTGAATTGTCTGAAATATTCTGTGTAACCAGACAGAAATGACGTCAGAACATATTGCTGTAGCAGGCGAAATCTTTTTGTTGATTTGTACGGAAAAGATTATGAACTGGAGCACCGGACGATCTCCGCTATCAGGTTCTTTCAAAGACGGTGATAAAATCTATGATTTGTCATGCCATAAATCCACGTGTGATCTAGACTCACCATCAAGTCAAGTTTGATGATAAAATCCATGTTTTGCCATGCCACAAATCCAAATGTGATGCAGACCTACCATCAAGTCCAGTTTTAGGAGATTCCTTAGGATGGGTACTGTGAGTGTAGCACACACGTGCTTAATTAAAATAATACGAAATTCACCGTAAGACCTTGTACTTCATATAATCAAACGATGTGT